GCACAAGTGGCAGCTGGCATCGATTTGCAGCAGAGCCTCGCCCAAGCAAATCCAAGCACAGCACAGGCAGCTACCAACTGTAGATTGCTTTTTAGCTCCCACCATGTAGCCCCAGACCCAGTACAGGAATCCGCTGAACTTGGCTTTCACCAGAGGCCTTCCCAAGAGGCCCAAATAGCAACACACCTGGTAGCCAGCTTAGAGCACTCCAGAGCACCAGCCATTTAGTGCCAGAGTGACACATACAAGGGTGGACTAGGCTGGCACCAGAGCCCCACGAAGGTGAATCCCACTCCTTGGTGTTAGCCCTCCCACAACAGCCCATCCACTGTAGTCACAGCCAGTCCTCACAACCAGTCAGCCTGAGGGTCAGTCCCATCTCCTGACCTCCCAACAACAATCATGGCTCAATTTCACACAGCACACACAAAACCCGGCAAGACAGCAGGGCCATTGGACCCCAGAATTGCCAATTCCCCACCTGTCCAGCAGGCAGGTGGTGCAGCAGGAGACCCAGGAGTAAGGGGAACCCCTTTGGGAAAGGGCCATGTTCGGAAGAACAAGCAGAGCACTGCAGGCCCACCATGTAGGAAGCATGGTGGTGGGCAGCAAATAAGGGAGTCCCTAACTCCAGGGCTCCCAAGGAATTGAGGGGTAAAAACACACTGATCCCTGTAGGGAGCGGCTATAGGGTTAAGCCTCGAATTGACCTGTGGCACAGCCACAAACAAGTCCCAGCTTAGAGGGCAGAGCCCTGTTAGCATAATTAAGCTTGACCTTATGACACTCCCTGATCGTTCCTAGGTAGCTAAGGGGCTGTGGGAGATGCAGCAAGTGCTGACAAAACAAGTAAAATTCACAAGAACATTGTAACTATGTTGACCACAACCTTGTTTGTCTCTGACTATAAAATAAAGGCTAAGCTTACAGGCAGCGTCTTTCTGTGGCCTCATCCAGGCATGGAAGATCCACCGAGCCCCAGCTGTATTCTCTTTGTCTGTCTTTTCTAAATCCTCCACTGCCCTCCTCAGGTTTACCCTTGGCCGTGCTGGCCCTGCACAGAGCCCCAGTGTGTACTGTCCAGTCTATGCATTTCAAGAGGAGAGGGCCCTTTGCTTGGCCAGGCCCCAACCCCATGCCAGCTTGTGGAAGCTAGGTCTCTGGAGAGGCGGTCTGCACTGGGAGCTCTGTGTACCCAGAGGTGCAGAGGCACAGCTGGCCCAGTTCCCCTGCCCAGGCCCTCGGGCCTGCTGGAGCCCCACTGCAGACCAAGAGCTGGGACATGAGAAAGGCCAGCAGCTATAGGACACAAGCGCTGACCTAGCCAGGGTCTCCATCTATCCCTCTATGTGCCTCTCTGTGCTCCCTAATCTTGGCCCTGTGCTGTGAGTCATTCACTCAGTGTCTGGCTCCAGCACGTTCCAGGCCAAGTTTAGCTCAGCCTCTGATGCCTGCTCGGGAAAGCGCTGCATAGCTAAGAAACTAAAAGTCCTGCCCCCTTAGTGTACTCCTGGGCTCTCCTCCAAGACCTGGAACTGACCCTGGAGGGGTCCAGACCACCATTCTTAACCCACTTCCAACAAGTTGCTTCTGAGTCAGGCCAAGGTGGGGGTCTCCCTCTCTGTGCTCATCCTTGTGTCCTATATTACATGGAAAAGCCTCTCAGATTTGAGCAACAGAAGTCAGGTGACTAGGAAGATGATTTGGTTCTCACCCTGCAGGAAACTGAATGAGTGCTGAAGGCCTGGGGTGAATAGTTAGCTCAGTTGTTTGGTCTAGAATGGGGCTGGGGTGGGGTACAGACAACCTACAGGGCCCTTTCTTCCACAGTGAGGCCTCCACCTTGGCCCCAGCACCTCACCTCAGCTACAGAATGGGACCACAGGGGCCTCCCTGGATTCTGGAGTTCATATTTCAGGCTGTCTTTTTTATTTTTTATTTCTTTATTTATTAAAGTATTACATATGTGTCCTTATCCCCCCATTACCCTCCTGACCCCCCTGCTCATACCCTCACCCCCTGTTGTCAGTGTCCATTGGTTAGGCTTATATGCATGCATACAAGTTCTTTGGTTGATCTCTCCCACTTACCCCTCCACTCCCCTACCTTCCCTCTGAGGTTCAACAGTCTGATCGATGCTTCTCTGTCTCTGGATCAGTTTTTCTTCATCACTTTATGTTGTTCATGATATTCCATAAATGAGTGAGATCATATGATATTTATCTTTCTCTGACTGACTTATTTCACTTAGCATAATGCTCTCCAGTTCCATCCACGCTGTTGCAAATGGTAAGAATTTCTTCCTTTTTACTGCAGAGTAGTATTCCATTATGTAGATGTACCACTGTTTTTTAATCCACTCATCTGCTGATGGGCACTTAGGCTGTTTCCAAATCTTAGCTATTGTAAATTGTGCTGCTATGAACATAGGGGTGCATATATCTTTTCTGATTGGTATTTCTGTTTTCTTGGGATATATTCCTAGAAGTGGGATCACTGGGTCAAATGAGATTTCCATTTTTGGTTTTGTGAGGAAACTCCATACTGTTTTCCATAGTGGCTGCACCAGTCTGCATTTACACCAGCAGTGCACGAGGGTTCCTTTTTCTCCCCATCCTCACCAGCATTTGTCATTTGTTGATTTGTTGATGATAGCCATTCTGACAGGTGTGAGGGGGTACTGCATTGTTGTTTTGATTTGCATCTCTCAGATAATTAGTGACTTTCAGCATGCTTTCATATGTCTCTTGGTTCAGGCCGTCTTCTGCTCTTTTTTTACCCCAGGCCCAGGGAAACCCACTGTGACCCAGCCTAGAGATGACTGAACCAGGGCCAGCTGGACTGTAAATGCAGGGAACGTAGCCCAGGAGTCCTTCAAGTCCAAGTCAAAATCAGAAAATGCACCAGGAATTATACAGAGTATGGTCTGAAGGTCACATAGAGAAGGGACAGGCTGAGTGTCCCTGCCCAGGACCCTCCTCACTGTGGCTTGGACTGAGCTCCTCCTAACCACTACTCCCCATGCATCCACGGGAACCCAGGGGCAGATAGCAAAGTAGCTAGTTCTGCTGCTCAAGTTTCTTTAGAGAAGACATAGCAAAGGCTGGGCTGAACCTTCCTGTGCCCACAGAGGAAACTCCAATGGACCAAGGTGAGATGGAGGCAAAAATCCTTGTGAAACAGCCGTCAGGGGATGAGGACAAAGAAAATTGGTCATGCTCAGAGACAGCCCAGACGGATTCAGCCCCAACACCCCCATCAGCCTCTGCAGTCTCCTTGACCAATGACAATCTCAGATCTACTTGGTTTCCTTGAGACACAGGGCGCTCACTCATGCCAGTCAGCCCCTGTAAGGTCGGGTGAGCTTTTAAGCTCAAGAAAGTGCTCCTGGAAGGGAGCTAATATCCAACTGCATAGGACAATTCCTGTGGAATTGGTTCTCTCTTTGGGTCCATGAAAAACGTGTCCTCCCTCCGGCCTCAGTGAGGGCACAAGTGTTTCACACATACAGTGTCTGGCACATTGAGGAGACTTAATGTTGAATGAAGGAAAATATATTTTAAAATTTACAACAACAAAAAATTGTTCTTCCTTAACAATTTCCTGACATAATGTCACTACCTCCCATGTTTTACTCCTGCCATTATTTTCTGATAAACATGAGGAAGTGTCTGTGGGGATCCAAGGGATGTGGCCTTGTCTTTGAATAATTGTGTGAACTTGAAAGTGTGGCTTTATTGCTGTGTCTCAACTTCTTTGGTAAAATCTGTAAACTGAGGGTTCTTTTTGGACATTAAAATGAATACCTCTCTTGAAATGGGGTTGGGCAAATGTTAACTATCATTACCATCATCTTCATCAAATTAGGATTGTGGTACCCCTCTTTGAGGTTCTCAATTGTGTATGTGACAGTTGAGTTTTAACCATTGTTATTGGGGTGGGGGGAGGAAAATCAGGAAATCCTGCCATGAGAGGGAAAACCAGAGGTAGGAAAGCAAACTGGTGAAGCCCTGTGTTGCTGAGCTGGATGGATGGATTGGTTCCTATTTTACTTGTGAGGAAGGAGAGGGGTGATGTTCCCTTGAGTCCCATTTAAGACACACAGTCATAGCTCTGTATTGAGAGTAGGACCAGGGCAAGGTGCAGGCAAAAGCTAACATGTAGATGGAGAAGGAGAATTTAGTTACAAAAATGGTCAACAATGAAGGTGTAACTAAGTCCAGAGAGCAATGCATCAGTGAGTCGGCTGTCAGACCTGGTGAAACCCAGGAGCTAATGACACTGGCCTGCTTGCACTTCCCTCAGGAGTGGAGAGCTCCAGGATGCATGCAATGAATGTAAACCCAAGTCTAGGGGAAGGGGTTGTAAATTAAATCCCTGACTTCTTTGTGGTTCCAGCATGGTGGAACTCTGGGTCTGATTGGTCCCTTGTAACCAGGCAACTGCGGAATGTGTTCTGATTGGCTGGCAGCAGCCAGGACAACAGACTTCAGTTGAGAAGCAACTGTGGAGGGAGAAGGAGCTTTGGCTGTGCTCTCTTCCCACTGTGGTTGTAGCTCTCAGCGCTTGTCGGATCCCGATCCGTTTTCAACAAGTCGTGTTGGTTGCTGTCCTCACAAACGAGTCATCCAGAGAGGTGCAGTTTCGGGGGGTGGCTGGGCCCTGAGCCCCACCTGGGCCAGGCAGCCCAGAGGCCAAGCAAACAGTGCGTGAGCCCTACCTGCTTGTGCGGTGAAGCCTTGGGGCTGCCTGCAGTCTAGCTTCCTTGGGGAGTACTGCTGAGGATGTGGTGGGGATGCGGGAGCTGCTGTGACGATCAGAACACAGGTAGAGAGAGTTGAACATGGTCTACTCAAGAGTGCTGCCTGAGGCCAGT